GTTGAGAATTTCGAGCAGAATATGAAGTATACGGAGGGAGATCTTGGTATTTATGACAAGCGGTTTCTGGAGATCATCATGATGGGCTCTGATTCAGAGAAGTGGTGGGAGAATGACGATCTTCAACAAAAGGCATGAAGGGAGTTTCGAGCGTTATACAATCTTCCAAACGGACTGGTACTCTCGCAGCTTTTCAAAGTCTGTCTCCAAGTGAGAATAGCCTTGGAAGCCATCCTTGAATTTGCACTTAATGAAAGCTATCAACCACAATCAATTTTACAACTTATGCCCTCAAATATGACCAAGTGGAAGATAGACTGTTGAATCACCTTGAGATAAAGTTATCTAGGTTATTTTTATGACTACCTTAATTACCTTACTGCCAGCAAGCTTTCCAACTCTTATGGTAATGGTCCTCTTCATGTGCTCCTTGTGCCCGCTAGGTAGAGAGAGCTCGTCATGAAAGATTCAGAGGTAGAAACCATGACTTGCGTTACCTTCTCATCACTACGCCTTGAAAACTCTAACACGAGGTCTTCGACCGGTATAATACGAGACTCGAGTGGCAAGATAAGTGACTGGTAGAAGGTGGGTTCGTGGACCAGCATCCTTGAATGTCCGGGAAAGGTGGGGTCATCAATCTTGAATCATGACCTCTTGATGTGAAAGTGAGCCTGAGCCTTTAGTGAATACTGGAAGGTGGTTCTCACAAATCATGTCAACTCTGCCGCGCTGGCGGAGGCGGAAGCGTCTTATGTGCGTGGGTTTGATGTCTCAGGCATGAAATCAACATTACCAGCAGTGAATTCCCTCTGGTACTCTCATAGAACAAAAACTCAGTCCATTCTTTGAACATCGGTCACGTTTTCACTTCGGACCCCTAACCCTGGGACTAATTAGCCGATTCGTGACCACGACGCAACGACGCAACGACGCAACGACGCAACGACGCAACGACGCAATGGATCACTTGCTAGATTTCGTATAATAATCTTTAATAACCCTACTGATACTTGTGTGTAACATTGGTCAACATGTATTTGAGCCGCTCCATTGGTAGATCATCGGTCGGTGAAAGGATTTGTCTTTGCTTAGTCGTCGAACGAGTTTGCTACGTACTGGTAATACGAGATTCACAATACGAAACTACCTAGTGAACTGAAAGATATTCATAGGTAGCTGGATATCCGTGAAAAGCAAATCTCGCCCATGCTTTGAAAGGCTTTAGCTATGCCAAAGCCAACGCATGAGGATGAGTATCGTTAAGTGTCAGGAGGACTTGAGGTCATTGATCATGCATCAGGTTTCTGTTATTGGTTCGAGAAGCTTTCCATCCTTCTTGATTAAGTTTGGACTTACATGACCTTTAACGACTTTTTAATCCGAAATCCTGCCAAAGTCTAGATGTTCAGGGCCCACCTCGTCAAGTGAGATCCCCCAAACGGTTAAACCTCTTTCTCTTTCCAACAATGCTTCTCCCATCTTCGACCAACCTACACACCACAACATTCGCTCGCAGATAAACAGCTTCAAACATCCCAGTCAATCTAGGTCATTCTAGGTCATTCAAAGATCCTCCAAGTACCGAATCTAGTACAGTAAAGGTTTGATATTCCTGCCTGCTCTGTCTTGGGTTGTGGATTCAGGCTCACTTTTGAATTCTACAGTACCAGCTACCGAACCTCGCGAGTCGATCTCGAAAACCGAAGCCCGCATTGTACAATAACGGCCCTCTACTCTCCCAATCCTCTTCCAACAATGTTGAATCAAAGATGGATATTCGTCTGTGGGCACACATTCAACTTTTTGGGTACTTACTTTCGTGCCCTTGGCACTCCCTTCACGCCTGAAAGTACCGAGAGCCACAAGACTTCCCCCGAACAATGCCTCCAATGCAGAGAGAAATCGCTCGAGCCTCGACAATCCGAACATGATGAACAAGCAACCGCCATCTACGAGAAGCAGATCGAGGTTACGATGGGTCATATCAAGGAGGCACAAGAAACAAAGAACGAGGAGGTGGTCAAGCAACTCAAGATGATGCTGAAGAACGGAACCTCGCTCTGGGCCAAGAAGACTACCGAGATCGAGAAGAGGAACGCTACAACATCACCTAAATGGCTCTGCTTCGAACGGCGATTGATGAAGTTGGCCGATAAACTAGAAATCATTTTCACGGTCGAGGAATGCTGTACCGACAATCTACAATTGAAAAGGTGTCAGTGGAGGTTGGAGAGCTGGGCTGTGTTCGTTACGGCTTACTGAGTAGTCTGAGGGAGAGGTGCGATACTCTTGTGGGAATATTTGAGCTGAGTTTGGTGGAGGAGTACGGGGCCTTGGAGACTGCACTTGCTGCGATCTGGGGAGAGTTTCTGGCTTTGATTGAGTAAGGAGAGATAGTTCAATGGTTCAGAGATTGTAGAGTGGGCACATTAAGGCTGGCTAGCTGGTGGCTAATGGCAGTACTACGTACATGGGACGAGATAAGCAAAGGTTGATTGTAATAAGCAGGGGTGTGGATGTTGCATGGGAGATAGTTTCGAGGTTGGACATCAGTCGGGCAGATCGTAACCAAAACTAGCGACTCTTCATCCCCTCGTCAGCAATGTCACCAATTGTTTTTCCGTGCCTCTGTGCTTTTGTACGTCCGTTTTGTGATTTTAGTAATGTTTCAGAGGTGTAGTTAAACTCACGCTTTGTCCTCGTTTTGATTCTCTTTCTTTGCTTGTTTTTCAACGAGAAGTTTCTTTCTACAAAAGAAGAAATTCCCTTTGCATTATGAGTTTTTGAGTCTTCTTTGATTAGCTGTCGAACAATGGTATTATGCTCCAATTCTCAGACAAAGCATGTACAAGTATAAGAATGCTATTGTTCCTGGACAATCAGAATCTCTCTCACTTTCATTCACAGACTCAAAGAAACAAAGACACATATACAAAATGGCACCAAGGCTCCATTTCGGCATTGAATTCGAATTTTGCCTCGCCTACCAAGAGCCTGGACAACCAGACCCTAGTCCAACCTCAACCCAGTTTACCGTTTTCCCCATCTCAGAAGTTGAGATCCTGGATTCTCTCAAGAATGATACAAATCGTGACGGGACACCTTTTACCAGCGAACAGCTTTTCAGAGATCCCTCCCGGAGAGGCCTCCGAACCGACATCTTCTTGTCATCTGCTCGACAACACATTAGACAAGCCTTCATCGAGGCGGGTCTTCCTTACGAGCACACCAATGACCACGAAGAAGATATCCGATACTGGCATATAACCACAGACCCAAGCATCAATACAACTCCTGATCCAAAGAAACCGATTGAAGCAGAATACGTCTGGGCTCCCATGGAAATCACTTCTCCAGCCTACGAATACAACGCTCAAAACCTTGCAGCAGTAGAACAGGTATGCGAGATTTTGCAAACACAGTATTTCACCAAAACTAACCTCTCATGTGGTCTTCACGTCCACTTCTCTCTCGGCATCACGCCTGATGCTCCAATCTGGTCTTTCAGTCAGCTCCAACGACTCCTTCAATTTTTCTGGGCATTCCACACGCAATTCGACACTGTCCAACCTGCTCATCGTCAACGCAGCACATTCGCTCTATCCATGCGAGTCTATGCTCTGATGATTGACAGGTTCTGGGCCAAGTGGGGGTTATCTCCCCGACCCTTACCAGGGAGTCATTGAACTCGGTCGTCAGAACGAACTGGCCGAGCTACTTCGAACAGTAGCAAAGAAAGGTAAAGAAAGGTACATGGCCTACAACGTTGATAATATCGTCAATCAACTTTTCACCTCTGCAGAATTTCCTGAAGGTATTGACGAGAATAAGAAGAACCCCACGATTGAATTTCGCCAACACTACGGAACTTTAGATGGTCGGACAGCGACGATGTGGGTCAAGACTCTAGGCGGAGTAATTGAATGGCTTGACGATGCGGATCCTGGTACGTATAACAACCTCCTACAATCGGTATTGTTAGAAAAATGGGAGAAATCAGGAAACGACGACCTCGATTACGAAAACGAACAAGAGCACGGACAACTCCTCGCCGAAAGTACCTTCAGAATACAAGAATTACTTACATCCATGGGACTGCAAGAGCAAGCAGATATCTACACAGGTAAGACATATGAGCTAGTGGCTCAGCCAAAGGGAAGTAGACCGGAGAAGTATATCTGGGAACATCAAGATGGTCGAGTTTTCTTGTCTGATCAGGAAGAGGCGATTTATGATCAAAAGGAGGCTATGGTGAAGGCTTTCTTTGCCCAGCTAAAGGCGTTGTATTTCAATCCAAATCTGCCCTTCGACCCAAATGCGAGTATGTGGCCGGCACATATGGAGCCAAGACCGGATGAGTATGCGAAAAAGGTTGCACTTCCGCCAATCATGTCTGGGGAAGTTCTTGAACTCGCGGATTCGGAAGAGTTGGACAAAGTGAACCTAGCGAAGTCCTCTAGAACTCCGGCATTGAGCGTTTGAATCGCTGTTTTAGTTTGATAAAAATATATTGTTCTTTGCTACTCAATGATTGATTTGACTTGCAGCGTGATAAGTACAAACTTTAGGTATTTCCGTTATGGTGGACTGTGCATCTGTGATGTATGTTTTCCTCAGCCTGAATCGCTCTCAAAAGAGTGGATAGTTGTGCTTACGAGCAGAAGACGCCATTCCAGCTGGAGGGTGTTGCGATTGAAAAGTATCGTAACTTTGTTGGCAATGTAGTTGAAGAACGCTACACTCGCAAAGCGGACATCTCTTGTTGTGCCTCCGAAATCGGACTCTCAGAGTGACCCGGAATCAAAGAGCAAAGACGAAGTCCCCAAAATTTTTGAAGCCTCAGTCCTCAAAGCAACCAACAACCTCGCAACCTTCCCAAAGAAGACTGCTAGCTGACGTCTAATCACGTTGAGTTCGGGCGGCAGTGAAGGCCCACAAAGACGCTAAAGAGATGTATGGATTTAAATAAGTAAAACCACAGCACCAATCACAACAAAGGCCTCTTGGTGTAACGGTAGCATATTGTCGAGCTTGTCGAGCAACGATTCGGTTGTGGGTTCAATTCCCTCAGAGGTCAGCTTGGCTCTGATGCCATTTCTTTTTTTGTCTTTTGGACAGCCTTTGAAACGTGGCTTCGGAGCTTCAATACTTGTATTTCTTTTGGTCTATTCGTGACTGAGTGCTCGCGAGTCTTGAGCACGGGGGCCGAGTTTCATCCTGGCGAAGCAAGAGGGCTGCGTTCTCGGAGGACGCGACCCACTCAACCCCCCTCCTTCGCTCATGTAAAAATAAAGAAAATTGCAACTTGTTAAACAAAAGGCTGGTTATTGCTATGCATGCTTGCTTCTTGAAGCTGGTTCTAGCTATTGAGGTAGGGAGTGAGGCTTTTTCTTTTGGCGTTGGATCTGTCTGGTCTGTACCTGAATATGCGACAGGAGAACAAAGAGCGTTAACGATATTGGTCTTCCTTGCCACCTCAATGAACGATACTCATTTTCAGTAGATTGCTTCCTAATTCCCGTTGTGATTTCCACCTTCACCACAGACCGAAGAAAAGCCGGGAGACGAACTCCTTTTATTCCTCGTGACCTGGCTGTGACCTGATGACCTCGGGAACAAGGCGCAGTAAGGGCACATGATAGTGATAGCAGTAAATGGAGTCATGTCCAGAGACAGCAAGCAGTATTTTGAGATAAAGGTCTAGTAGCGGTCGCTGTAGCAGATGATCAAAAACAAGATGCAGAAGCAGAGATTTCATAGCATGCAATTGCAAGTCAAACAGGTCGTATGTCCGCTTTGCATGCACTTCCTAGATGAGATTTGTATCAGGGGGTGTAGAAGGACATTTATATGCCTGTGAAAACTATGACACATCTCACGATGTGACAAGATGTACAAGCTGTTCCACAGGGTGTTATGTGACATATCCATTTCTTTAAGTATGTCTTCTAGATGACCAGAGTGCAAACACAGCTCTCTACTCAATCCTCCTCTCTCTATCCGAGTCTCCAAGTAGCGGATCATCTTCTCCTTCCATGTATTCCTTGCTCTTGTTTCCAGGATATAGGCAGTAATGCTGCGTCATGAAGATGATATCGAAGAAGACGCTGACATTCCCCAGCATTAACTTCACCGGATTCCCAGTAATGCCAGACCAGTCGTGTTGTAGGTAGCTATCTATGCCCAATTGTAGAATCGAGAGTATACCGCCGATTAAATCGAGGAGGATTTGGCCTATGGACCAGCCTTGTGTGCTTCGGTTTCGATAGTTCGTGAGGACTTGAGGCATGTATTTGACGAGTGTGATGAACAGCTTAACGTATGAGAAAGCGTAGATCTGTGCAGCAGTAATCAGTACAAATACCAATAACTAAAGGGCCAGAGGAACATACCACGTCAATCCAAGCCCACCCAGTAGCAGGATCGGGATCATCCCTCACCAACACAATAAGAGCCACAATCACAACTCCCAGTATGCTCCCCACCAATATGCCCATGATAAATCGGCTCGGCTTACTCCCCGGTCCTCCTCGCCTCTCAAATCCCCATAGACTCGGCACAAACTGGCTCAGCGTAATAGCGCTCAACACAATAGCATGCCCCGCAAACGCAAAATCATTGAACTGCACCGTTGGCGTAAGCCCATGATTCCTTAACGCGTATTCCTCTCTTATTCGCGGACTGTACAAGAACGCTGCATTCGAAATAAAGTATCCCACGAAGCCTAGGACGTTGATGGCTGGGAAATCGATCGTGGTTCCTGTGGTGCTCTTTCGGCGGAAGTTGAGGAGAGGTTGAGGGTAGAAGGATAAAGACCAGCAGATGGTGTAGACCCAGCCGCAGAGTTCGGATATCGCCTCCAAGAATGTAACTGCCATGATTGAGAGTTGGTGAATGTCATGGAGGTTGGAAAGTGAAAGAATGAGGCCTTGTGAAGAAATTCATCACGCGCCTTGCGTGCTTGCGGCTCTGACGCGGATACGGAGTTCAGTGCAGCAGGAAATTTAAGGTTATCTAGATCCCTGCATGGCGTTATCGAAGTCTTGGCGCTGGAGTACGGCAATTTTGTGCAGATTTATTTCGCGCGGTTCAACCGAGTATATTACTTTTACCGAGGCGGCTAGTAATACCTTAGGTAAGCAATACCCCAAGGCCTGAGCTAAGTGAGTATTTATCTAATACCAACTCCCTATTCTTATATTCGAAAAATAGAAATAAAAAGCGCGAGAGTGCGACTATGTACATCGAGGACCTGGCTAAGTTTGCCCGTGCATTTCTGGCTACGACACAGATGACATTCGAGATAGGCTGGCTTCGGGTCCAGCTGATCTTCTTCTGCTAACTTGCCGGCATTACGGGCAACTGACCGGAGGCCCTGGTGAACCTTCGCTTTCAACACCTCAACCTGACCCTGATTCGAGACCGAAATGCAGATCGTCCTTGACTATTTATTTGGCTAACCACCGAGTATACTTAGGGGTATCTCAGCATAAAGGATGCGTGCGTCACGTCCCCATTAGCCTGTCTTGATTTTACGTATCCTGATCTACTAACAGAATCTATAGCAATCAATTCCCATTCCCGAAATCATCTACGACCCGACGCTCATGCTCAGCCCTCACGTCTTCTTGCTCGGGATGCTGTTAAAGGTCCAGGACTTCAAATCTCCCAGCATTGACTCCCCGGAGAAGCTATATAGCCTCGACGTCCTGGATAGCCTGAACGAGCAAGCATTACCACTAAAGGGAGAGCTCGACGACGACTTCGTCTTCTACTAGGCGGTTCGGGAAGCGCACGGCGTTCGCATTGCTCACGACGTGCAGCTGACGTCGTACTCGGTCCGGTACTAGACGAAGAAAGGCGGCTAGATCGCGAGCTTTGCTCAGGTCACCAAGCCCTACGTCCTCCGTGATGGGGCGGCTAAGGCGCTAAACGAGAGCCGTAAGTGCTACTACCCCTCCCCCACACGTCCTCGACTAACACGGAATGCTTTGATATAACGGATGTCAGCGATTCCCTTCAGAACCTCATCCTCTAGCATCCCAGCGTTAGTTTTCCGGGTAGGTAGGCTAGTAGGCTTGCTTGGATATGTGGGAATAGCTTCAATTCAAGGTTCAATTCAATTCACTTCGATTCAAATCAATTGCGTGGCGGTGAGCATCGCTAACAATCTGATTACCTAACAAATTACTACTAACCTCCGACCGGGTGATGTGGCCTGTGCGTGGTGGGATTTAGATGAAGGTATGTGTGATTTAGCACAGCCCAAATAGTAATTGAATATGTAGACTAGAAGGACGAGTGTGATGAGATGTTCAGAACCCTAGACCCTAGACGTTTACAGCGTCCCTCACTTTGCTAATTGTCTCTCCATTAAACAATACATAACCTAATAAATTGAATTCGGTCATTAAAGTAAAACGAATGAAACCACGGAGATATTAAGATGCATGAGTAATTTAGCACAAAAGCGCGCAGCCTCCAGTCTGAAACAACTTCGAGAGAGAGAGTTCTTCAAGCGCAGGACCATCAACTGACCAAATAACTACGGCTTTAATCCAACTCCGATTATCAATCTTGGAGCAATCTCTGTCAAGTCTGCTACTCGCTCGATGATGGTATTTTGGAGTGAGTGGTCCTGTTGCCTGTCTTGTAAACTGTATATTTGAAAAGACACAGGGGTGTTCCGCAGATGGAGATGCTGCAATTTCGGAAGAGTGACCACGATATCCTTGAAGCTCTCCTTTACGATATTAGTAGGTTATGCATGTTAAGGGTCGGGACAAATGTGCTGAGTATACCTACCCATGCAGATTCCTCGTAAGACATCAACAGAGACAATCCCTCTACGTTGGGTAACTCTGTTACGATAGCTTCCAAAATTTCAACGTTGAAGGAGGGACCAGCGAGGTCAAACTGTGACCAATTGTCGATTCCACTGATTCCAGCCTCCGCATCTCTAAAGGGCGTGATTCCCAGTGATGGTGTCTTTGCATGTGGAAAGGTGTCGAGAACGTCCATATCAGAAGCATCGATCAGAGGGTTATCCTGAGCAAAGTCAAGACTTAACTCTTCGATATTCTGCCTGATGGTCACTTCGAGTCCGGTAAAAGCTTTCAAACCATGTAGCCCAAGGCCGAGATGGAGCTTACGAAGATTTTGCGCCGGTGGACTCTCTCTTAGACGCGTCATTAAAAGATCTTCCAAGGCATTTTGATTCTCGGCCATGATACAGTGCATGAGAGAAAGACTCTGCAAAGGCAGTTTAGAAAGTCCCTCAATGAGCTCGTCGGCCTTGACCAGAACTTGGGATGGAAACGATACGATCTGCAATGAGCGTAGGGATCCGAGTGAAGGAAGGAAATCCCCACTTTGCGAAACTGCAGATTCCGTGTCGGGAACATAAGAATTCACTCCAACAGAAAGAGCCTCAAGACGTGTGAGTGCTGAAGCTAGCTGCATTGACCATTATATGGCAGATACGGTCGGGAGGGACATAACCTGCAATGCTCGGAGGTTTGCTAAAGTTGGCGCAATTCACAGGACCAATACATCTAGAAAATCCATGGTCTGGTCCTCAATTATCGTCACAAAACAAGGTATCCGTGTTGGACGAGCATGTGACCATAGGAATCCTAGCGGGTGCGATCTTCCAGCTGCAGCAGGAGGATCACTTCTCAGACCAGGATATACCACGGGCGTCTATGCAATCTGACAGTTCTTACGATTCAAACATTACTAGCATGAGCTGAGACACAAAGCATTATCATTGTCCACAGTTAGAGCCAACATTAGCGACATCATCAACACCAACAGGAAAGTACCACCAACTGGAACAAAAGGACTACCACCGCCATTCTAAAGACACATTTCTGTATCAGCAGCCCAGGAAGGGACATCATAAGCCCCATTCAAATACATCATCCCTGGTCACAGTTCCACATTCACAAGAAAGCACGGCCTGAAAAGACGCAAGAGCTCAACTTTGATTCACGGTGACGTGGTCTATGTTTACAATGTACTTGAGTGCAACAAATCGTTTCCTCGTATCGAAAAAATCAAGCAGCATCTCGAACG